CACCGAGCCCGCCACGGCATCCCCGCTGTGCCACTGCTGTGCTCCCTCCATGCCCACCACTGCACCCCCACACCCATCAGGAGACCTGGCCAGCCAGATAAAGCCCACCTGTACTCTGGTGGCACCTCAGGGTGAGTGAAATGGTCTGGCAGGGGTGAGAAAGACTGAGAAAGCCATGGTAAAATGCCCTGGCACAGTGCTGGGGGGTTGGTGGGCATCCCCCTTCCTCTGTCTGGGGCTTGTCCCTGTGCACAAGTGGCAGCCACAGTGCCAAGGTGAGGGCTTGGCTGCCAGCACTCTGCAGACCCTGGTGCCCTCTGGGCTGTCCTCAGCACCCAGGCAGGTGGCACTGCCTCACTCCATGCATCCCTCTGCCCGTGCCCCCAGCCCTGTCCTGGAAGTGCCACCCTCAGCCCAGGGTGGCCTGACACAGGGGTCCCATGCTGGAAAGACAGGAGGGTTCCCAGGGACAGGAGGGGTCCCCACCCCAGCCACCTGCTACAGCCACCCCGAGACCCTGTGCAGGTGCCTCTGCAGCAAGGACAGTGACACCCCAGGTGTCAGCGGCACTGCTGGGTGCCCGGGGCAGGGGCAGCCGCAGGGGCACGGTGCCCTCACCCGGATGACGTAGCGGGAGGTGTTCCTCTCGTCCAGGCTGACGGTGAGGGAGAAGAGCACGGCAGCACTGTAGACACCCTGTGTCTTGTAGAGCAGCTCGTTGATGTCCCTGCGCTCCGGAGGGGCGTCCCAGCCACCGCACTCCCCGATGACCTCCAGCATGGGCCGGGGCCCGAGCCGATCGATCTCGGCCCGGTCCAGGCACGAGCGGAAGAACTCCTTGACCTTCCTCTCTGCCGAGGCGCGGGCCCGGCGCCGCACGGGCCGGCTCAGCAGCGCCCGCAGCTTGGCCTCGTTCTGCTCGGCAATGGCCCCGATGGTGCCGTACACCAGCTTGTCCTCGGGGATGCCGTGCCGCCGGAGCCAGCCGCCACAGGCGAACGAGTAGAAGTCCTGGCAGGGGTCGATGGTAGCATCCATGTTGGCACTTAGGAAGCGGGATGCCCGCAGGAAGGCCTTCTTCTCCTGGCACCCCTCCAGGCAGTAGCTGTCCCCTTCGGTCGCCAGGTACTTGAGGACCAACATGCACGTCAAGATGACGCAGAGCCCCGCAGCGAAGACCAGCCCTGAGAGCAGGCAGACCTCCCGGCGGCTCCAGCGGGGCAGCCCCCCACGGCGCTTCTTGGCCCCTGCGCCCAGCTGGAGCGCGAAGCCGTTGGGCAGCGTCCCGCTCTGGTACTTGCTCACGTACTTCACCTCCTGAAACTCATCGTAGTGCGCTGTCAGCGAGTAGGTCTTCTCCATGGCCGGGGATGCAGCTCCCTGCCAGCAGCGCTGGTGCAGGGGCTCAGGGCAGGCGGAGGGCAGGCTCAGGCAGCCCACAGTTCATGCCGGAGCTGTGCCTGCCACGGGGAACTGGTGATGTCCAGGTGAGTAAGGAAGCTCCTGGAAAAGGCAGAGGAGATAGATGGGGGGGGATTGGGAGGAGCAAGGGTGGGGGGGTTACTTCTTGTCGTCATTGCTGCCTGTATATCCATCCCCATGTGTGCCCTGCTGCTGGCACTGAGATTGTCCATAGCGCCAGGAGCTTGGTGGCATCTCTACCCATGGCTGTCCCCTCTGCCAGTTCCTTTGGTGACAGGGCAGGTCATCTGCATGCAGGACACCTGCATGATGGCACATTTCGGTCTCTGGCACAGCTAATCTCAGACGCTCCACACCCACACAGTGCTCCAGCCAGAGCCTCCATGCCGGGTGGATGTCCAAGGTGTTCCATGAACCCAAACTCAGCACCATGAGAACCCTTCGCAACAAGGGGGAGCAGAAGGCTGCCAGTCTCTCTGGGTGGGGTATGATGGGATGAGCAGACTGGGGAAGAGGGGCTTTGGGGAGATTTGTGAGGGGAGCCGTGGGCTGGGCCAGGTTGAGTGGCCCCACACTGGGTTGCATGGGTGGTGCTGCGCCATGGCGGGCGGTGTTGCATTGTGCTGTGTGGGGTGGTGCTGCGCCGTGTTGCATTGCATTGTGTCAAACTGTGGAGCAGTGCGTGATGTGTGAACAAAGTTAATTCCAGTCTGGGGGGAGCCCTGCACCCCGTGGACACATCACAGCATTCCCCCCCACAATCACCACCACCATCCACCCAACCCCTCTCCACTGGGTGGTGCACGACAGGCAGGGGTGGCTGTCAGGGTGACACGCTGGGGAGGAGGGGTCTGCCCATGGGGAAAGGAGGGTGGGGACATAAATGGGTGAGGAGGGGGTCTTCAAAGGGACACCCTGCTTCTTGCTTGGTGAAGAATGGTATCCGGATTTGCAGGTGGGGGAGGACAAAAAGCCGCTCGGGAGGTGGCCAGCATCCCCACAGCGGGGCTGCCCCGTGCCCCGTCCTTCCACAACTTGGGCAAAGTTGTG